TACCAAGATTTGATTTGATAATTTTGGGTAGATTGTTATAAATAAATTAATATATTTGTAATATTCCAATGAGTAGAAAGATTAGATTTTCTGATGTTTCGTGACTCAGTGTAAGCCACTTCTTCAGAGAATAAATAACCAAATTAATATTAATCCAATTTTAAATAGTACAACAGAACAACATAAATATTAGATGATCAATCAAAAACAGGTCCGAATAAATCAATGTCATGTCATTTCATTTTGGTCAAGGTGATTCATAAGCGACATGTTTATAATTTGTGTATGTGTGCACTGTTAATGATGAAAAATGTGTGACCTTTATAATGACAATGGATAAAGTTTAGTTTGTAATGTAATGGTGTGAATTGTAAATAATATCAGACTGAGTGACTAGGATAGATGGTCCAAGTAGGCTGTATGGTAAGGCCTTCCTTTCTATTGAGAGCTGTGGGATTAAGCATTATATGGAAAGCTTCAGCTACTCTCCAAACTTTGTAATTGGAAGAGCCTTTTTGTGGTATTTTGATATTTTTGAAATCAATTTGATGATTATTGAAAATGGCGTGAACTGCTATTGCTGATTTTATTTGAAGTCTATTCAGTTCTACAGGATTATTAGGTTTCCTTGTATACCTAATATGTTCTTTGACACGAGTCAAGATTTAGTGAGATGAATATCCACTATAGAAGGCATCACAATCGACATAATCTAATTTGTAGACGCAGTTCTGTGCAGACATGAATGGTATTTTTTCTTTTAATCGAACTAAAGTATTTCGAAGTGTGTTCGTTGTTTTGTAATATACTTTAATTCTGTGTCGTTTTAAGATCCTTTGGAGTTCATCAGTTGTGCCATGATGGTATGGTAAAACTGCAGTATCAATTCATGGCATTTCATTCGAATTATTATTATTACGTACTGAATATTACTGGATATTACAAATATATTAATTGATTATTTGTTGTATGTATTTACTGTTAAGATTTAAGACTGAAATCGACTGATCTCCATTAGTATAAGGATTTTGTAAAGAAATGTCTAGAAATCACCTTCAGGTTGGGTCCTATGCCGAGTTTGTAAACTGGATATATTCCCATATCAATGGTGATACCGAAAACAGGTGTTATATGGATCACACTACTAGCCACTATCTAAACACATAATCAGCTCATAAAAGCAGAGAATATCAAAGAATCCATTTAATAATCACATATCAACGGCGATTGATTAGGTTAACCAATAAATATGACCAGCAGCAGATCACGATCCATAATAATCATTGAAAGGTATCATACCCACCGAGTAGAAATAATGCTTATTACTACTAAGTTAGGTATTAGTGTTAGATGTTATTAGTAACATCTGAACTGTAAGTGTAAATATCAAAACTTGCGTGAAACCACACTCAGTTGATGAGTCAGAAAAGTACGAAACTCATGTCATAGCTCGCTATCGAAACTATTACAGGTAATCTGTTATCCGAATCTTAAGCATCCTCTGAATATATTTGTATATAGATTTGGTTTGTGTGTAGTAATGGGAGAATAGTATGATTGATCGTTAAGCGTGGACAAATAACCGCAACATAATGACTACTAAATGTGATTTCCTTTCTAATTGATTTCTACTCCGGACACACTGAGTGTGACTATTTGCAACTGTATTGGATAAAGTATTATCTAGTGTTTACCTTGTTCTCGATTCTGGGTCATGAATCCTGGTTTTGATGTAACGTGTTTAGTCTCATCATTGTATTAACGTATTATACGAGAGTGAGATGAAATATTTGAAACCATACGTTATATCACTTAATATTAAACAAACATATTCAGGCAAGAAATATATTCTTTTTATCACGATCAAGTAAATTCATTCAGAAATTTTACAGAATTCATATGCAACGAATATGAATGTATTTTTTAGACGCAGTTGGTAAAAAGATTTTCTTAAAATTAAAATTCTCTTATGTGATTATTTAATTACGCTTGTTACCTCTCGTGGAGGAGCATAGGCTACCCACCGGCACTCTTCATCCAACTCTGTCCTAAGCATTTCTTTCCAGTTGCTATTCATCCATTTGATATCTGCTTCCAATTCTCGAATCAATGTGTCCCTTAGTCTTTTTTCCGGGTGAATAGTATCTAACCCATGTTCACATGGGTCAATAGCAGGAATTATAATGAAGCATACATGAAATAAACCATAATCTTTGAACCTTGTGAATAATTTCTGAATTATTTATCTTATTTCTTCATATTTGTCTGTAATCATAACTCCAACAATTAAAATGTAACAAAGTATTCAATAGGGTAGATATTTTTCTATAACCATAATAATAACTGTTATATCACCTGGTGAATTATGAATGATAACTTTTGAGGACTATTTATGGACCAATGTAATATGTATATTTCCTATTGTATATCATTAGCTTTATCATTATTAGCTTTATTTTGACCTTTGACCTATTATCGTACGATTCTTGAGTTATCATCAGTTTATTGATTACTTTCCCCCTATAAACAACCACATTTGGCCAATTATTGTACAAATGTTATTTTCTATTTTTTATGGTACGATATGGTCTGTTTGGTTGGTATATAAACCCAGTATGTTTGTGAATAATGATTCATATTGCCGAGGCTGTTATTGGTGTTCTGGACTTAACTGTCCGGGCTAGACAGAAAGGAGGAGTGACAAGTAATCAAGACTGCTCGTACGATTTTATGTACCATAGCTCCGATCGATAGTTCGCTCTTCTCTCATTGGCGGGAATCAGCACGTTCACATAACAAATAGGGCACGCACTTATACGATATAACAATAACACTTATATTATCTTCACAGTTGAAATCATGAGTCAATTGAAGCTAGACCACCATCGAAAACCTGGAAGCACTGGACGACCGTTTCGTCCTATTATGGGACTCCTCAGCAGTGCGCATCCACGATCCCGACTTATATTATCAACTATTATTTTGTAATTTATAAATATCAGACGATGAATGATAGTACTCATTCAGTCTCAAATTATTGTCTAACAAATTTACAATATGTATATCACAATAATCAATAATACTAGGTTTCATAGGTTGACAAGTGTTGTTACAATTTTACTATTACTCATATAATGTAACCAAGCCCAACAATATATAATGCCTGGAGGCAAAAAGCTAAGCAAACCGGAGAAAAGAGAACGAGAATGATTGGTGAGGAAATGAAGGAATGGTAAAGTCTGAGACGATTGATTTTCTGCATATGATTTAATGTACGATTATCAGATTTTACTCAGACGCTCTGTAATTTTGTATTCAAATACGTCCGATTGTCCCCCCTTTAGTTCTCGTTCACTACACTTACTTACGCCTGTTACCCCTTGTGGAGGGGCATAGGCCGCATACCAGCATTCTCTATCAAACTCTGTCCTAAGTAATCCTTTCCAGTTGCTATTCATACTTTTCATATCTGCTTCTATTTCCCGACGTAATGTGTTGTTTGGCTTTCCGCTTCCCTTCACAATTCGAAGTTAGCGCTTGCTTCGGGATGCAGTTGGGTGACTTCCTGAATTTATGTCCTGTCCACTTCCAACGCCTTTTCCTAATTCCCTCTTCTCCCATAAAACACTGTTGGTGATGGTATCCGACCGGCGAATGTCGAGTATTTTGCGTAGACAACTGTTTATAAATACTTGCACCATTTCGACGATGGTTGTAGTAGTTCTCCACGTTTCGGATCCATACAGTAGGACTGTCTTGGCGTTCGTATTGAAGATTCTGACTTTGATATTGTTTGAGTTCCATATGTTCTTCAATTGTAGGAATGCGATCCTTGCCTTTACGTCTACATCAGATCCCCCTTGTTCATCGATGATGCTCCCCAGGTACGTGGAAGACCCCACATCTCCCAGGGTTTCGTCATCAAATGTGATTTGGTTAGTATTCCCCGTGTTGTATTGAGGATTTTGCTTTTTCCTTTGGTTATGTTGAAGCCTATTGATGAAGAGGCTGCTGCTTTATTTGTTGTCTTCGTCTGTATTAGTTCGTGTGTATGGGATAGGAGGGCTAGGTTATCTGTGAAGTCCAAATCGTCTAATTGATTGTGAGATGTTTATTGTGTGCCGTGCTTTCTCTCACATGTCGACGTCTTCATAATCCAGTCAGTCATCAGAAGAAGGAGAGTAGACAGCCTTGTGCGACTCCGGTCCTTACTGGAAATGCATCTGTCAGCTGTCCTCCACGCACCACTTTGCACTGTAGTCCGTCGTATGAGTTCCGGATAATGTTGACAATCTTCTCAGGAACTCTATAGTGTCGAAGAAGTTTCCATAATGTTCTCCGGTCCACACTATCAAATGCCTAGTCATAGTCAATTATGTTGATGTATAGTGACGATTTCCACTCAACTGATCGTTCCACGATGATCCGTAGTGTCGCAATTTGGTCTGTGCACGACCGATCTTTACGGAGAAACTTAATAAAATTTAAAATGTTATTTATTTGTTTAAGAATTCAGAGTCTGTATGATAGTGGATTCTCTTCAAAAGAAAAAAATTATTCAATAACTTTTTGAACTAGGCATGAACTTTTTAGTCTTTTGTAATTGGATTTTGAAAAATAGTGGTTCTTACATAATCTGTTTTTATGTTCCTAACAAATTGATTCAATGTTGATTGAATCAATTCAACCCCCCCCAAAAAAAAAGAAACAACACCGTTAAAAACAATAAAATTTATTCACTTAATATGTATACACATAATTAAGTTAATGATTTCAGCAACAATATGGGATAAATAATTATAATTTCATTCATTTAAAAGTAAACAATCATCTAAAAAGTGAAGGGTTAATAAATAAATAACAACAAAATCAAAAAAACTCATGAATAAATCACCGTAAACAAAATAATAATAGAGTAATATTTATTAAGTAAACATACAAAAGTGAATAATGTGTAAATAATAATAATAATAATAATTATTATTATTATTATTAGTAGTAGTAGTAGTGGTAGTAGTAGTAAGTCAGTTAATTCAATAAATGTTTTATCCACAATCATATAGAATCAGGATCTGTTAGTTGATACTGATAATGAGCATAAATACACAATGTTGATGTCAAATCAAAAAAATAATAATTAAAAAATATGTTTTGTTTGTTTTTAAAAAGAGAAAAGGGATAAAAGTTAAGTAGTAATCACATTTTACGTGAAAAAAATCAATTCTTCCACACGATATTCACCACTAACAAATTCGAATTTGAAACGTCTTAAATCTTTTCGTGTAATGATTCCACGAACCTAAAAATAAAGTAGAAATGAATGAGTTGATTAAAAGTAAGTTTAATTCATTCATAAATAATAAATGTGACGGTTATACCTTAACAAAATCAGTGAGACTATAATTTATGGACGATTTTTCAGTAACGCTTTAGTAGTCTTGAGAATGTCCACCTACTAACTAGGACTAAATGAGGGTTATAAACCAATGTGAGGAATTGGAATTATGATTTGCAGTTGATCGTTAGGGTTAGGAATTGGATTTGGGGTTTTCATTATGAACTGACATCAGCTAAAATGCCAAAACGCTATTTAGCCAAGTGGATGAATGTATTTCGCACCAAAATCCAAGAGCTGCAATTTTATTTCCGATTGGTTCGTCCATAAATTATAGTCTAGTCACAAAACTAGTAAGTGTAGAATGAAAATTAGCCACATAGTAAACAACTTGTAGATAGAAATAAATACAAAAACAGTAGTTAGTTTATCAGAAAAACAAATACACTCATCAACTAGCAGTATACAATCGATAGATAGAGATCAAATCAAATATATTTTCTCACCTACTAAGTGTAAAAAGGGTTTTCAAAATGAATTTATTTTTACATTTAAGGTTATATACTTCGAATAAATCGCCCCCAAATGCCCTGGTACGGCCGAGAGTGGGGAGAGTCTACTCTCCCTCTCGAAATGCTCTCACATGGCCAGCGAATATATAGCCTCTGCCAGGGAAGTCCTACTCACTGCCTTCTCGTGGCGGGGGTGTTGTTTACGAAAGTGAGAGGACGAAAAGCGAATGTCCGGCGCTTTAACCGGGTTGGTGGACACGGAAAGTCCACCTAAGGGAGTTGGAAAACCCTGATTCCAAACCATTGGTGCACATGAGCTCCAGTATCCTGATGGAACGAATGGCGAATGAACCTATTGTTGGTCAACGGCTACCATGGGACTGCATATGTACCGCATATGTACCTGGTGCCCTTTTGTACCAATATATATGTGTTTAAATAAATAAATAAATCTCCTTACGATGCTCCACTGCCTTGTGGATCAGACCTTTAGGTCAAAGGCTCGGGGTGTGGCCCCCTAAGAAAACCACCTGCTTCGGTTTGGGCACCCGGGCAGTATCACAGCCCACACACAAATGAATGAAATGATGAATTCTATTGACGATACTATTCTCGCTCATATTAGAAGCAAGACAATTTACACTATTATTATTATTACCATTGTTATTATTATTTTTATTATTATTACTACTATTATTTACTACGTCGCTTTTTCACTCCCTTTATTCCCAAATTGTGTACCCTTCCTTTCCAACTTATGCAGTAGCTCGCCCATGGTGGAAACTCTGTCCTATCTAAACGATCTCCAGTCACTGTCTGGTTGAAAGTGAATGCTTCCACCGATTATGAATACTGAAGCAGTTTTTCTGAAACCGCGTTCAAGCTGGCTTCCTTCAACGTTCGCACACTAATGCAGATCGGACAACAGATGAGGCTGGCTATGTCTTTAGAAAGTCTTAATGTTGATGTTTGCTGTCTATCCGAGACCCGTATTCAAGACTCTAGTGAAGTACTACAAATTTGCTCTCCATCTGTCGCTTCGAAAAGCTTGTTTCACGTGCGCTTATCAGGGGACCCTGTGGCAACTTCGTCTGGTCTTGCAGACGTTGGTGTTGCACTAAGCGCTAGGGCTGAGGCAGCACTAATCGATTGGATCCCCATTAACAGTCGGTTATGTGCTGTTAGATTAGAAAGCTCCATCAAAGTGAGAAGAAACCGGCGTGAGAAACGGTGTCTTTTCGTCATATCCGCCTATGCTCCGACAGATTGCAGCCCGGATGCAATCAAGGATGAGTTTTACCACCAGTTAACAGTTCTTCTCCAGAAAGCGCGTTCGACAGATATTGTAGTATTAGCCGGAGATTTGAATGCACAGGTCAGGCGTCTAGGCACAGAAGAGAGTCGTTTAGGTGGCCGATGGGGACTTGTTGGTCGCAGGACAGATAACGGGGACCGTTTGCTGCAACTGTGCACAGACCACAACCTGTTTCTGGCCAGCACTAACTTCCGGCACAGTCATCGCCGGTTGCCACCTGGCGTCCTCCCTCTGCATCCCAAGCCTGGACTCAGATTGATCACATCGCGATCAGCTACCGCTGGCGTGGTTGTGTACAAGACTGCCGCTCCTTTTGGAGTACCTATCTGGAGTCTGATCATGCCCTGGTCTGCGACAATCTCACCTTACTTTTCAGTGGCCGAAGGATTGACCACCACCAACGGATTGATATTAGTAAACTGGCTGCAACTTCTGTTGCAAGTAAGTATCGAGCGGAGCTAGCCTTTAGGCTAGCTACCACCCCACCGAAAAGTATAGATGAGCATTGGTTGCATCTTCACGACGCCATGAAAATGGCGAGTAAAGCCGCTTGCGGCTTCGCGAAACGTCCCGCTTACAAGCACTGGGTTTCTTCTGGCTCCTTACAACTGATGGAAGCCCGTCGGTCTACTCCGGGTGACCGTGAGTTTGACCACAAACGAAGGCTGTCACGTAATGGAATCGGACAAAGCTTGCGTAAGGACCGAGAAGCCTGGTGGTCGGAGCGTGCTAATGAGATGGAAGCAGCAGCCGCATCTGGTAACTGCCGGAAGCTCTTCCAACTCATCCGAGCCACTGGCAGCAAGAAGTCTGGTGTGAGTGAAACAATCTACGAGGATGACAGGATGCCAATCAATAACATCTCTCGACGTCTTGGACGATGGACGGAATTTTTCGAAGGGCAGTTCAACTGGCCTGCTGCTCCGGCAACATCAACCAGTTTGTCCTGCCCCCCATGGCCGGTGACGACTGATCCACCAAACGAGGCGGAAGTCCGCAAGGAACTCCAACTCTTGAAACGTTACAAATCACCTGGCCCAGATGACTTACCTCCGGCTCTTCTTAAAGATGGTGGTGACTTTCTGGCTAAGGAACTGACGGCGTTGTTTGTAAAGGTTTTGTAGCAAGAAAGTGTTCCAACATCATGGAATGAGTCAATAGTCGTCCCTATCTTTAAAAAGGGTTCGCGTTGTTCCTGCAACAACTATCGGGGGATAAGTCTACTTTCGATCGCGTCCAAACTATTGGCTTCTATCATTCTTCGTAGGTTGTTCAAAACCCGAGAACGATTGACTCGCGAGGAGCAGGCTGGTTTTCGTTCTGGTCGAGGATGCATTGATCACATCTTCACCCTCCGCCAAATGTTAGAACACCGTCATACTTATCGCAGGCCAACAATCGTAGTGTTTCTTGATATCAGGGCGGCCTTCGATTCGTTGGACAGGACTGTTCTCTGGGATTGTCTATTGAAGAAGGGTGTGCCTGAGAAGTTCATTAACATCTTAAAGGCCCTGTATACGAACACCTCAGGCAGAGTGAGGGCATACAACCACCTTTCTCCCTTGTTTCATTCGAGCAGTGGGGTTAGGCAGGGTTGTCGAATCTCATCATTCCTCTTCAACTTTGCCATCGATTACATTCTGGAAACAGCTCTGATGGATGTAAGTAATGGCGGTGTGGATATGTTGCCTGGTGAACGACTTCTCGACCTCGAGTATGCCGATGATATTGTCTTACTGTGCGATAATGCCCAAGGCATGCAATCCGCACTTAATCAGTTGACAATCAGCGTCCGCAGGTACGGTTTGTACTCTGCACCTTCGAAGTGCAAAGTACTTCTGCAAGACTGGCAGGATTCTAATCCTGTACTCACCCTGGATGGTGAGCACATTGAAGTAGTTGAGAAGTTCGTGTATCTAGGTAGCTATATAAGTGCTGGTGGTGGCGTGAGTGATGAGATTGATGCACGTATAATGAAAGCCAGAGCGGCTTATGCCAATCTGGGCCATCTTTGGCGCCTTCGTGATGTTAGTCTGGCTGTAAAATGTCGGATTTCCAACGCGTCGGTGAGAGCAGTTTTGCTCTATGCTTGTGAAACCTGGTCTCTCCGAGTTAAGGAAGTTAGACGTCCATCTGTGTTCGATCATCGTTGTCTCCGAAGGATTGCTGACATACAGTAGCAACACCATGTTAGTAATGCAGAGGTTCGGCATCGTGTGTTCGGGCGCAGAGACGATAATTCAATTGGTGTCACCATCTTGAAACACCGACTTCGGTGGCTTGGACATGTTTTACGAATGTCGTCCCAGAGACTTCCACGCCGTGCATTATTTGCCGACTCTGGGACTGGTTGGAAAAAGCGGAGAGGAGGTCAGTGTATGACATGGTGTTGTGGCATGAAAGAAAGCTGCAAAGGGCTAGCTTCTGTTGGTCCTTCACGACTCCTTGGCTGGGGTCCGAGAGATGGTGCAACACAGTGGCTAGAGACATTATCAGATATGGCTCAGAATAGAAGCCAGTGGCGATCCTGCTGCAACCTTCTTTTACTTTCTACATAAAGAATGGTTCTTACTTTCCTATTTGAAAGAGTCTTCTGGTTGTACATTTTAGTCCGCCTTATCTTTTCATCCCTTCTCTTCCTACTTTCATTATTTTGTGTGGCGCATATGTATCTGGTGCCCTTTTGTACCAATATATATGTGTTTAAATAAATAAATAAACTCCTAAGGTGAGGGTATAAGTTTTTACTTGGTTAGGCAGTTGAGTAAATAGAGTGATGGTTTTGAGGAACGAACCGTTGTTGTTAATATGATAGCGCGTTGACTATCATGAAAATGGATTCATATGACTATAAACATGACGGAATATATTCATAACAATTTTCTAGTTATGTAAAGATCCACATTATTTGTTAACTAAGATCAAAAAGTTTTCATGATCACATAATTTAGAACTATAAACATATTTTGATAGCATTTTCTGAACAGTTGCTGCTAAAAAATGCATCGGATAGATTTGAACTTTTCTTGATAGTTTTATTTAGTAATTGTATGGAGTTGTTGTAAGCTGTAGCCTGGTACTTGTACGAAAGCTAGCGAGTAGATAAAACGGAAATCAGATTACCAAATTGTTTACTATTGATCTTAGTTTCACAAAGAACTATCAGTATTATATTCGAAACGAGAGAACTTAGTGTTTCGAAAAATTCGGTAACATAATTTAATATAGATTTCATTACTAACGATTCATTGACTAGAAAATAAACAGTCAGAACATTTTATGTAGTTAGTGATGCATGGTTTTATCCCATACTATTTATTTTCTTCCACAGAATTTAGTCACTAAAACATGAGGTACTTTGAACTGATGGGATTTATGTTAGGCTAGTTTCCCTTGTTTGATGTGACGAGATAGAAAGGTAACATTACTTTAGTACAATATTTGTGTATTAATTAGGTATAAACTTATGTCAACATGGCAGATGTGAATCCTCTTTCAGTGTGATATTTGTATTCCCTATATTAATTCAACTGAACTATATTTATTGTGTTTTCCCGTAACTCTTTATTTTCCCCTATATTTTATATTATTGTGCACAAATTAGTGTAGAAATGAGTGCGCTTCGGTCTAATGAAGAAGTCATTTTGAAGAGGTAATAACTCTACATTTTTACAAGTATTTCGCATTCTTCCTTGTTCCTTGGGGATTACAGCGGTTCCCGTTTCCATACATAAGCAGCAGGAAGGCGGGTACAACAGATACAACATAGACAAAACACGTTTTTATAACCTTGTTAGTCCTTTGTCGCGAAAAATAACTACTCAATAAAATCAAGCAGACACTCTTCATGATCTCAACTATTAAAATTATAATAACATCCACAAAAAACCCCTTTCATAGAATTCATGACACTGTCAAACTGTAATTATGGGTATGAATTCGACGTATATGCAGAGCAAAAAAAGCACGTTGGTGATTTACTTGATTTTGACTATCAACGACTGGTAGATGCCGGAGACCCAGTAAACGGAAAAGATGGTAAACACGAGTCATTGTCATAGTCTAAAATAAGAGAAGATAATGTTTCACATGATAAAGTTGTAGCAGAAATTAGAAAATCATTGAACAAGATGACTTATTAAGATAAATTTCATTGAATAAATATAACATTGAAAGACCAAGACATCCATCATTTATCAAAGTGAATTACTCAACAGGTTTCGAAGTAGGAAAACGTAAGTCATATAGATATTTTATTATTCGGACCGTGAATTATCGTTGTCGAATATGAAGATGTCTACCAGAATAAAAGTAGTAATTTCGTTAAAATACCAAGTTATTATTATTTTTAAAAATAGAAAGTAGATAGTTTCTGTTGTATCCAGATGAAGAACAAATGAATGGTAACCGTTAGGAATTACTTATGGACTAATATTATACGTATATTTATATTCTTTTGATCATAAGCTTTTATTTGATCTATGGACTATTATTATACGACTTGCTATTCTCAAGATATTCCCAATTTATTAGTAACAGTCTTTCACAATCACTGCAACTTTTTGGCCTGATATTGTATAACTGTTATTTTCTATTTTATGGTACGGTGAGGTCTGGTTTGTTTGTATATAAACCCAGTGTGTGTGAAATATATGATTTGCATAACGGAGGCTGATATTGGTGTTCTGGACTAAACCGGCTAGGTTAGGGAGAATCTACTATCTCGGTGGTCTAATAAGAACTCAGAATTAACTCTGGTTTATACGTCATTAGTCTGGTTGTATAAGTCGATATCTCTACGTGGCAGTCGCATCACGTGATATAATTAATCGGGAATAAAGACATAAATTTCTGACAAAAATAAAGAATGGCACACAAAAACTCAAGAAAAAGTGGCAGCTTATATCTATTAATTGCAAGTAAGTCTCTTATGAAATTGATGTACTCAGTCTTAAAAAATAAAATCCTAATAATTCAAAACAATCATCTTTAATCAAAAGATCCAATGATCCGTTGAAATACTCGCAGGAACGAATATAATGCGGATTTGCTTATAGAGATTTAAAAACAGTTAGCATCTTAGCTGTAAAATGACAAATTTAAAAATTACCACTATAATAATAACTTATTCTTCAAATACAGCCATAACACTGACACAACTAAATGAAAATATTCTCACATTATGATCCAAAATCACATTCCTAATCATCAACTGATTACTTATCTTATCAACAACTCCCGACACCCATCACCGAAGTATTCTGAAGTTTACACACAAATTACCTTAGAAACAATACAATTTATTATATATTAAACAAAGCGGAAAACCTTGTCAACTATCGAATTGTCTTTAAATATAAAGACATACATACCACATGGGGATTACGTGAATAAATACGTAGGACTGAAAACTCATTGCTACATATAAAGTGAATTCGTCACTATCACAGTGGATTAACAAAAACTAAACAATTAGTGAAATAATATTAGAAATTATACAGAGATGTTAATAATAATCATTCTGATTTACGTATTAGGGGGTTATAGTGAGGTGGATAGTCACAAGAAACAGACAGCTATGACTATGAAACATTATTGAAAAAGTACACATTTTAGGTTAGACTACATCTCATTTATCATAATTACTACTCAGAATTTAATTTCTATTCAGGTATTGAAGGAAAAGACAAGTCGAAAACAGACAAAAAGTCACTGTAAGTAATTCTTTTAATACTAGAAAATCATAAATCGGATTTCTCATCAAAATAGCACGATACAACTACTGTCTGATTTATTTGACAACTCTCAATGAATAATTATATACAACATACTGATTATATTATATATTATTCATTACCTCCAACACTACAAATGGGACGAGTGAACACTAAGGAATACCTTTTCTTTTACGACTAATAATGACACAATAGGGATCCATTAGCATTTACAGAGTAACTTGATGTCAAGTTGAGAAGCGACTACTAGGAATGTGACTTCTGATGTGTCAAAACTGACTTGTCGCGCAGTTTGAAATGTCCGAAATTTCGGCCTGAAAAATCTTTTTTTAGTTTACTTTAGTTAAACATGTTTAAAAGTTATTATCTAAAAATGACATTCTCCGAACATTACAGCTCCATGTTCCGTGTTCAAACATATGCCATTGTAAACAATGAGAAGCGGACGTAGATGAGGTCATCAAGCTTATCCACATGTACGATCACAAATATAAAAGCTCAGAGAACGCTAAGTTTCTTCTTGATGCAAGCATAGGAGAAAAATCTTCCAAATTATCGGAGAAATGATTCTTTCCTATGCTTGTTTGAAACTCGTCAACAAAATTTATCTACATGATCAAATGAAGAAAGCTTTATATCAAATATTTTTAATGGCCCAATTTAAAGAACGAATGAATATGCTGTAGATATAAATCTCCCGTTTAACACCGTATATTACACTTAAACTAAACCTGTTTGTGAGACGGCAGTAATAAGAAGCCAACTAACGGTTAAGTTGAACGAATTTATTTTAGGCACTCATTTACTCCAACAGACATTTAGAATGAAAAGCTGGAAAGCAAAGCTAAGAAGGCAAGTGTGCCAATATCATCTGATAAAGCGTGACGAAATATTTGTAGCCCAACAGAAGTAAGCTAAAGGCATATGATGAATAGGGTAGGCAATACGTGAATACGTTCATATAAAGACAGTCAAGGTTAATAAGTAATTTGGTTGACAAGGTCAAAATGTGACTGAAGAACAAACAAATCGGTCTGTCCGGAAGCTAGAATAACCCATATGGGCTTGAAGTAGTACTAGAAGTTACATATTCTCGAACCTAAACCCACTGTTTATAATGCTCAAGGTTGATCAACTAGGCTTTTTGTAGCGAGCTCTATTTGCAGTGATAAAATGAATAATGTTAATTAAAATTGTTATCTCACACAAACTAACAGAACATTATTCATTTTTATAAAGAAACACAAGACTTCATCATCTTACGAAAAAAAACAATGTTAATCAAAGTGTTTGCACGAAGATAAGATTTAACAATTACTTTTTTAGAAGAAAAAAGATTTACCTCTGGGACACTGTATGGCGCTTCACACATGTATGGCCTCAAGTCTAAGTAGGCGTCCATATCATCACATGACAAATTCGCTAAAACATCCTAGGAAAATGAAAAACAAAACACAAAAACCCGACATAGAACACTTGGATTCTGAGCAAGCCTCACAGTTTAAAAATAATTTTAAAACGTGTGTATTATCATCGAAATTTTTGTATTTTTTAATATTTCTTAATATTTAAACGGTCTAAGCTATTTAAATAATGTTAAAAGAGTTAAATATTTTGAATTTAGTAGTAAAACAATGATTAGACGTTAAAGCTTTTACACACCGGTTTCAAACTTGTTCAACCAACTTAAGTTTAAACAATCGAGTAGCATCAAAAATGATCAACCAAAATTTACATTTTGAAACCGAGTGTATATGAAATTCAAAGTTACTAACCTAGAAAATTCTATTTCAGCAAGGTTTTAGCTTAACGATAGTGACTTACATTTCATCTACTAGATTGGAAATTTAAGAAAACTTAAACTAATTGGATATTTGCAGATAATGTAATGTTGTCAGTTCCTATAGAGAAAGTTAGAGGTTCATAAAATAATCATATACTACGCAGTACATCAAAAGCAATGGCTAGTGATTTTGAGTAAGAATATTATTTTACTTATACAATTGTGACGTTCCCTTCATATTACTATGCCAGCAAACAACAATGAATGAAGGTGAGCACAGTGGGAGGCATTCATGACAAATATTTTGTGCAGTAATGGTTACGAGAGAGACCGGTTGTCGAACAGGTGCATAAGTGTGAAGGACTTGCTTAAAATTATATTCAGCAGGAATTACTTTAACATAAATTATTACCCTACTTTATAAATGGAACTTCTTAGTTTTTAAAAGTGAACTAGCATTTATTATTTCAAATAAAAGAAGGGTAGATGCAAATATGGTCAATGACCTCAATAGATGTGCACGAAATTGTACTAATTCCCTGAAGTTTTGGAATACCTAATAAGAGATAAAAACTGTTTGATTCATACAAGGCAGGCTGAGGATTTCCAAACGAAAATTAAAACTGATCGATGTCATTTGTGATCTGAGAATCAGAAAATAACAGCTATCTAACATATCCTGAATTGTAGTAGTTTTTTCCTCAGATCTAGTGGAAAGCCACTGAGAAATATGCAGCATTGAACAGTCGTTTTATCATAGTCTCAGATTTATCAGTTGTGAGGAATCACGACAACACAAACGGCCAGTCTTAAAGCCTTTTTGTCTAACGATATCTATACACCAATGAATTTTGATCTAAAGGTTTATATCACCAAACATTGACACAGCCTAAAACAAAACATCTATCTAATGCATCTTGTTTTAAGATGATTCTCCAAAAAGAAGCCATCTTAAAATTAAACTGATTCCCAGTAACGAAATAAATTTAATTCCATAAAATAACAAGCAAACTATCATAAACTAAATCATTTAAAAGTATTAACACACTCTGAGGCTCTGATCACATTCGATAAGCAAAATAGATAATCTTATTGAAAAGAATTTTTTTCTAAAATATGTTGACTTACACCTAACTTCGGATAGGATGGATAAGCATCATCATAATCTTTATAGGTCAATGAATATACGATATTACCATCTTTAGATAAAAATGCCTATATACACAAAAATTGTGAGTTGAAGAAAATCAGATGAATTTACAAAAAAGGTAATATTTTGTATCCAGAAAAATATGGATTGAAAAATTTACCAAGTTATGAAACCGTAGCTTATATACTTAAACAATTATCTGAGTAATTTGATACGAAATTCAAAAACTTGCCTTAGTTTTGGTAGTTAGAGGGTATACCAGTCACATTGATAAATAAAGTACCTGAAAGTCTACTGAATGAGTCCCTGAATGTACTGGTAGAGAAGAAAGTGAGAAAAGTCCGTTTTCCCTCTCCAAATACTTTCATATGGCCACAAGTATACAGCCACTCAAAGGAAAATCCTACTCAGCGACTTCTTATGACAGGGGTGTTCTTTACAAAGTTGAGAGGAAGAAAAGCGAATGTCCGAAGCTTTAACCGGGTTGGTGGATATTTAGGATCCATTTAGAGGAGTTAGTTGGAAAACCTTGATTCCAAAACAATGGTGCACATGGGCTCCAGGATTCTGACTAATCAAATGGAATATCAACCTATTGTCAGTCACCGGATACCATGAGACTGCATCTCCTAACGTCCCTCTACTGTCTTGTGGATCAGACCTTTAGGTCAAAGCGTATATATACAGCATAAAAATGTCCTTGGGGAACGTCACAAAATAACGTATTCAAAGAGGCAACGAACCAATGACATTTAGGGTGGTTCCAAGTGGAAAATACAATCTGAAGGTAAAAATGAGCACTTTTGGCGAGAACACGAGAAATTCATATTTCTGAAATAAAATTACAAAAATAAGACGTTTACCAAGTGATTTACGGGAATCTAGTATCTCCACAAAAGAGTTGCATCAACGCTTCTAATTTTTTCGTTTATTTAAACACACAACTATTGGTACAAGGAGGCCCCAAATAAATATGCGCCAGACTTCGTCATTTGATTTGTTTACACATTTCGTTTTTAGATTCTCTACATAGTCTTGTCATTAACACTTTTCCTTAATCTGAGAATGTGAACATGAGGTTTTCATCAGAACTTTATGATCCTATGTAATAGTAAATTTAGAAGCATTTATCTTTTGTTGACATTGTAAGGTAAAGTAAACGTGAACTTCTGGTTTATTAAAGACATTTTCCTATTTATCTGACTAAATTGTTAAAAGCTTAAAAAGAAGAACAACAAACAATTAGCTTCCACGAATGAAACTTTTGATGGATAAAAAATAAGACACTTAAAAAAAGTTGGTATGAGTGGCTGTATCATATTGATTCGGGATTGCATTCCACTCCAACTTAAATCGACAGATCGAACGAACAAAAACAACAATAACAAAGGTAATTTTGATAAGAGAAAAAGAAAATTACAACGAGAAAAGGTAACATACACGTTTTTGCAACAGTAGTGCTAAATGCTCTGAAGAAATCATTCCAACTAAAGTACCATATGAAAATCTTGATGAATCTGTAGAACCCACTACAACTGGAAATCCATGATGTAAATTATTTGCAATCCGTTCAACTAATTCACTAACACGCATGATAGGATATAAATACACAACTGGATTAGACATCAGGTCATAGGCTCTCTTAGTTACAGATAGCGAATGCGGTGTCCACGGAAGTAAAGCCATACTATTCAACCCAATATGTTCATCATAGATCCCCTGTAATAAATTGAAAGTCAACACAAAAACAACCCAAGTAAAACAAGAAAAAGTAATACTGAACTACTACTACAAATCGATCAATTTATAGAATAAAAAGAAATTTTACAACTCACTTCGCTCAAACAATCACCCATATATTTAGCAACAGTCAAAGTCATTAGCAATGGTAATCCAACAATTACGTTTCCTGTTGCCTCCATTAGAATAACTGTTAGACTTAATGTCATTCGGACAATACCACCTAATTGTGCAGCAGCGCCAATCAGTGCGAATTTACCGGGATCGGAGAAATGAATTGGATCAACAGTATGCATTAAATTACCTAAATTAATTGTAGAAATGAATAAAACGAACTACATGTTTGTACAGTAAAATAATTAATAAGACCTAATTTAATCAGGTTGACAAGTCTGATTTGAATTTAACCTTTTATTTATATATATAAATGTTCTTAACAAGTATATGTATGATCAGATTGTTCGAAATGTATTGCGCTAATATATCACATAGTTCTGATAATCTTTGTCTTCTTATTACACTATCGAAATTTATCAAAGGGACTAATTGCTTTAAATCTCTTTTTTAGTTAAGCGCGGTTATATCATCGTTGAAGCGCTGTCACTTGATCTATAAATAGGGCTAAATCTGTTCTCGTGTTAATAGTATGTGCTCGGTCGTATTATCCAAGCGTAAAACAACAAACTGATCCCATGAGTTGTTCAAAATGCAATGTTTAAAGCGTTCTACTGACACAGCACATTCCCAAAAACGATAGTTTTAACTTAGTATATTAGAATCTTAGAAACAGCTATAACCATTAGCTTAAATCGATATGGTTTACAAAAGTAGACCATATATACGTACTATCTTCCCCTATGATATGTTAACTGTTTGCACTGTACTGTTCGTTTCGGAGTTTAAAATATACGTTACCTTGATTATTACTTCCTAGTACAAAGACTTTCTACATATCAAGGAGACGGTGGGATATGCTTTATAGGTGACGTACTAGTTGTATTAATTTCACATATACAGTAAGAATTTATGAAATAACCACTAACCTATGATTCGACCCCAGCCAGCACCGATCAACAAAGACGGTATGAATAGACCAGCAGGAACAGACAAACCATATGTAATACAAGCCAAGAAATAGTATACGAGCACAAATATGGTTAATACTGAAATACTGTATGTCATTGGAGGATCGTGAAGCAGAGTTCGGAGGGAACGTTCAGGTGTTGAAAATAATAGTGAGGAAATTGAATTAAACTCGTTGTCCGCACACATCATCTTTTTGTACGGAGAATATAAAGGGGAAATTAATAAACCTCTTATATGACCAGTTAAGAACTTAATACGTCGAAAAATAGAATTCATTCCGTGTTGACAAGTTTATAATTTCAACTAGTAACAAATATGTTAGTAATCAGCATATTTTCTAGACTTTTAAATAAAAGCCAAGCGAAAGCATGTAACATTAAGATATGAAATTATTACTTATAACAAAATTGTTTATGGTAGTTTGATTTGAATTTGTCAGTGCACTGTGATCGCTTAAAAACTAAGCTGTAATATACTTAATCTAGCGTTTGGGTGTGAAATCATCTTCCATCTAAGAATTAGTTTGTTTCTGTCTTGAGTCGAGTAACATCAGTTTTGCTGCAAAATCGTTAGTGTAAACCCGGATGAAAAAACTTTCGTTGGTCATATAAATGACTTTGCTGACTCTAGATTCCTAACTTGTGTTCAAGCCACAGTTAATACCGAGATAACCGTTTTTCACTCTCAGTTGGGATCATTTAGTTGGTAGTAGAATTAATCCTTGAATGAATCTTTGCTATGATTGGTTGGAACATTTTGAAAGATAGTAAGTGTTTATACCTCCTGCCACTTGTTTCTAATATAAATCAAACCTTCTAGTCTAGCAGTATGAATATGAATAGTGATTTAGTCAACTAGTGTTACTTTTTCTCTAGCGTTTTGTGTAAAAAAAAGTACCATTGATACTTTAACAGATTGTTGTCCTTGGGCATGGGGATATGGAAAAAACTTTTGAACCACCAGATGGACTGCGTATGCTCAGTAATTCACAGAAATCTTGAATATGAGCATCTGATATGCAGCATATGTGGACAGAAAAGTGTTCCGTAGTTATAGCCAGGACAGTTTATCATCTGTAAAAGGCTAAATAAATTTAATATGGTAACTATCACCATTATAACAAATCCTGATCAAAGAGATACGATTTTTTTAAATTACCTTGTACGATAGAGGCCTCAAGACAAATATACAACCTGAACTATTTTCATGAAATGGATTTTAAAATTAAGAATTAATCAGAATTAATTAACAATAACTACACCTGGTCATTATCATAGGTCAGTGTCAGAGAAATAAACCTCGATACCCAAAGAGTACCTAAAGTATCTTATATCTACCTCTCCTTGCATATTAAAGTGCTCAACTTCAAAGTAAAATCTCTAAAACCACTACAACTGGATAAAACACTGTCGTAACCAATATCAACCAATTTATAACGTAACCCAGTATTAACGTAAGTTTTCGCACCATCCACTTTGATTTGAATTCACAGACTTAAACAAATATAAATCGATTTCCACTTACCCACTCCATCGTAAATAGTGAAAAGTATATTAGCGTGTAAAAATCAACTTTATATCAATCGAACATTTTTAATAAAACAATAAATTAATGACTGAATCAACGGGAGAAAAACGTACCTTGAGAGGGAAAGAACTGCTAGTATATGCTAATAGACTACAATCACGAACAGCCCACATTATTGAAAAACATAAAGTGGTAGTTAACGAACTAACAACAAGAATGGCTTCTATAATCTTGTTATATTTTGTTGTAATGTTCCTGAAGCAAAGAAAAAGGAATTATTCAATCCCAAATGTTTCCAAACATGCTAACATGATATACACAAAAATGTAATGTCGGATCGAACAACTAATATAAAAAACCTTTATGACTACTTAACAATTTTATGTATTAACGGTTACTACAACTACGGATAGTATTTTGTCTAGAAATCTCAGTTATATTGAACAAATTAGAATTAAGTAACAAAGTCCTACCAGAAAAGGATCATCGGTCGTAACGTTAACCTTATAAATCATCCTCATACTTGAATAACTTTACGACAAGTGATGAAGTGCTTACAAATGTTTGCTTACTTTTGCCTATATCTTGTTAGGACTGAATTAGCTTTCACAAACAACGCTCCAGATAATCCACCAATTAGACCCATTAGTAAAAACATAAGAATTTCATAGGCATTGTAATCATTTAATGACTAGACCAAGAAAACACAAAAATAAAAACAGGTAACATTAGTTATATGAAAAAAAAATACTACAGTATAAATGACATATGAATATGAACAATAATTCGAAGTCAATTTCTTAGCTAACTACATTAGCTTTGAACCTTTACAAACAATGAAAAATAACATATGACAAATTGAATTCTAGATCCAAAATCCAATAGATAGAAGTTTTTTGGACGAGATGAAGTGATCAATAATAAACGATAAATCTATGCTATAATGAATTGCTTCTATTATGATGAGCGAAACGGGTATTTACTTTTAGAAATATCTCATTAAAAAAAGATTTTCATGGAGTGCAATGATTATCAGAAGATTTAAAACTCAGAACTGGTGTAATTTTTCTAGGAAATAAGACAATGAATAGAAGTGAAAACATAATAATAATATTTTGCTTGATACGATCAGAAAGTCAGGCGAACCGACAAATGATGATTGTCATGAGGTATATGTCATAAATAAATGTAATTATTGAATAAATCAAGGGATATAACTTACTTCAAAGGTACCAAAGCTTACAAGACCACCAGGAGTAAATTTGAACACATGGGTACGAGTCAGCGATTTGAACAAAGCCAAAGTAAACATCGAGACCATTGATGCGAAGAGCTACAAGAACAAAGTTTTATTGGTACAATGATATTATGAACTTGTGACAGAATTCCCAATCTACCTACAAAAACTAGTACGAAATATACATCCTAACACTCGGAGGGTGTACAAAAGAATCATAATACTCAACACCATTTAACGATTGTTTTCTAGGTGGCAGATTGAAGTCAGTGTCTTTATATGAGATGCTATATGTTTATGTAATACTAATGAACACATTCTTATAGACTAATACTTTTATTTTCGTAATACTAAGAGGAGTTATTACCTATTACAATCTTAAATCCTCAACTTTATATAACTCATGAAATGTATCTCACCAATTATCATGTAAGATAGTTCTTATGGAAGCTTTGTCATTTGAAAATGTATCTTGAAACGTGTTAATGGCAACTTAACCTGATAACTATTAACACCTTAAAGTTCACTTTGTCGAATAAACAATGGCCCGATTGTTGGCAATTTTAAATAGACAACATAATATCAGAATTCAACACATGTTGACCAACTTCAGTTAGTATCTTTTGTATACTGGGATGATTGATAATTGAAACTGATCAAATGGAAGTACCTCCAACTTCAAATGTATCCCGTAGCTAACATAGCGGGTGATGCAGAACCAGCATCCAGGTCCTCCTGCCCTAATTCTCTCCAGGTTGTTTATTACTTTAATTCACAAATTAACATGATATGGCTGAATTTACTATATCTGTTGCTTATATTTCACTAGCGCTTACGTCCATTTATTAGACCTGTGTAGGATTATTCTTATTTCTACTCAATATTATGTTTGAAGCCTGTTGGAATGAACTTCATTGGTCTCTTGTCCGGTTTGATATGTTAAGAGGACTGGGAGCACGAAAAATCAATTCGCAGTACGGTTATATAAAACATGAAATAACATTTCGTGAGCTTAGATCTTCAGTGTTATTAGTTAACATGAAGTCAGAGGAATCTTTGAAAGAGGGAGATAAGCGGATTTGAGCGACGAGGAAAACAGCTGTTGTTAAATCGGAGTGCTGGAGATTTATAGGCGACATTTAACTTCCCTAAAAAATATCCCTTCTAAGAAACTTGAAAACAAACGATACTGGACTGATGCTATCACAGGTCTAAGATTAAAGTACAGCAGTCTGAGTCAGGTATCACTCCACCTTATTAAAAATGGTTATTTTCGGTATTACGGTACGAGATGATTAGTGCCATTCTACATTGGAAAAAACACTGAGTAAAGATAATTGTAAGAACTTCAAACAAGATCTAAGGGTTTATTTTTGTACCAGTGATACTATCAGGCCTGTATTCGTGAAAGTTAATAATGCGGTTTCAAAGGACGAACAAAAAACATGCACCAATTTATATGTGATGAGTGTTGTGATGCGCACTGAATGAAACGTCCTGGCAGCTAATTAAATAACAAAGTGAACATAGACAATGTTTACAAAATACTTTTGAATCCTCAGAAGACTGCAAAAAGCTTGGGAACAAATCAGCGACAACATTATATTCGATAGCAAAATGGCATCAAATTGACTTTGATTCAACCAAAATTATTTGGTGGGGTTTGTTGAGAGAAAAACAAATACATGAAGCCCTACACATATAGGCAGACTCTAGCTTGAATAAGGTAGGTTGAAGTTAGCTTCATGACGGTAACAGTTGATCAATAAGTGAAAATATCTTTTCGACACTTGCTTTAACTAAAATTCCAGTAACGTGAATATTAAGAGGGAAACTTACATTATTTAACTACTTGTTTTATTTGGTTTTGTATCCGGTTACTTTATATTAACTTGACAACACAAACCCTGATTACTTTTGAATGAACACTGACAAGCTATTTAACTCAAATTTCTTTTGAGTTTTGTGATGAACAGAACATTGATATGACTACAGCAGTAACCAAAGGTTCTTTTGTTCATTTGGTTTTAATGATAATGAAATACAGTACTATGGGTCATCGCGAGGCGAATTTTGGACATACTTGTATCGAATGACACACTTTAGATACATACAAAACCAACACGTAGACGTGACTGGACAAGTGTTAAATACAGAATCATCTGCGAATCTATCAACCTAAAATAATGAACTTTACTATTTCTCTGAAGAAGAATGGTCCAGGGTGTCACATGAAATGTTGGGACAATTCAAAATATAACCGCTGCGATTATTACAAACATGACAAGGTCCACTGTCTATTTACAATATCTAATGAAAACCAACTGATGAAGACAGCTTGACACAAATAAAAATTGGGGGTAGAAAACATAATGGCAAAAACGAACAATAACTCACTATAGTCCATGTTAATCTTTGATAAACAAAACTGGCGCCTTCTTCAAGGGAAAATAACAGACCACCTACAGGTGCTCCAAAAGCAGCTGCAACCCCGGCAGCCGCACCGGCACTGACAAAATCACGCTTTTCTTGGTCATTTCTAAAAATCTTCAAGCAACCCAAGGAAAATTTAAAAATCGCAAGCGCCCCTGTGATAATCCTGCAGCAATCACCGAGCCGATATGTATCATAGGTCCCTCTTTTCCAGCAGCCAAACCCCCAGACACTGCCAAAATAACACCAACACCCTTTACGATCATAGTGAGGCATCGCATAACACGAGGAATATTAAGACCATTAAGATAACATTTAATTTGCGGGATTCCGCTTCCTGAAGCAACTGGCTACAAAAATACTTAGTCAGAAACTTGACATACAGCTAGAAAGACGACCAGTATAGCTGCTACACCTGTGAGGAAAGAATTGACAGCACACCACAAAAATCCCGGAACAGAAATCCAGAGAGAATGTGAATAATGACTGATAACTACGTTGGTTAAGGAAAGAAGACAGTTTGTTGGAGTTTCGTCTGTGCCTGTATGTCGATTATTAAAAGGATACGCCATGAAACAGATTTATACTTATACTTCGAGATGTTTTCAATAACATAATCAATCACACAGGCGGAAAGTCCTGTAAACACGCCTATAAAGAATAGTACCGAATGTCTCAGCATAGCTCCTCTAAAGATGCTGCCCTGTAAAGTGTGATTAACTATAATCTGTGTTACATAAGACACCCTTCGTGCCCCTTCGTCAGTGAATATTCTATTCTGAACAGGATCATAATCAAAACCCTGAAGCTGAATGTTTCGTGAGATGAGACCTACCTCGATGCCCTGGTCAAGTAAGATTTCAGGATGTAAGTCGTCATCAGTGAAAGATAGCACGCCTGTAGAGCTGCGTCGTGATGCATAGTTTCTATGAAAGGCTTGAGTATCCTAGAGCCGAAAATACTTCTTTTGCTATTCTAGAACACATATAATACCTCCACATCGCTAGAAATGCACAACCGAAAATTGTAAGACAAATTGTGGTTCGCATCAGTCATTTTTTGACTATTCGCACCAGGAGCGATATCACGAGAATGCTAATCATTAGGAGCGCTTTCACCTGTCAAGGTTGTATGAAAGTACGAAATGCACTAAACAGTTCAAACTCTAACTTCCAGTTACAAAAGAAAGCAGTTCCTCAAACTTTTATTGTATAAGAAACATTTGAATGTTCTTGTTGAATAAAACTTGCCGTGTTCCAAAGTAAACAAAGGGTTTCAAAAGTTTTAGTTACAATCTTTTGTGGATATCAACATGCATCGATACAGTCAAAGAAATGTTGAATCTGTACATTACTACAAATTCCAAGGATTAATATCGATCGAATGGCCTCCTACCGTTACTGTTGAGAACTGGAAACAGTCCTTAATTATTCAGCGAATTGAATTTTGTGACTTCCGGATTACCTGGTATTTTGTGATTGGGTAGTAAGAGTGGTGAATACTCCACCACGTTCAAGTGATGTGCAGACTTCTAAGAGAATTTGGAGTATTTTCCGAAATACCTTGTAGATACATACTTCACCTTGTTCAGTAGTAATAACCAATAATTTGTGGGATGTCATGGAGATCTATAGTGACGTTTATGTCTAGTGATTTTTTGTGACAACAAATTAAAGGTCACATATTTTTACTAGTTGTCACACTTTTTATGTAATCACACTCATATTCGATATCTATTGTTTTTCTGTATCAATGGTAAAGAAACGAATACTTTTGTTTGGTTATATATAACACGACTTCACTACCGCGCTTCTTAAAACATAAACGTTGTATCCGCCGTCTATTCTTCTGCTTTAACGGCCACGGCCTTTGATTGAAGATTATAATAGTATTACAACATCTTTTTAGACCATTCCACACTACATTGGTGTTTTGGCCCGGATCATTACTGAATAATACTACTGGATCTAATCTTCTCCATTTTGCTGTTGGTGCCATCACGTGCAGAGGAATCTTTGTTAACCAAGTGAACTTATTTGTGGTTGTTATATCAGAAAGCAGCTTACAAGTAACATTCATTTCATAACACTGTTACCATTTTGTTGCTCAATATACCTTTTTATAATTTAACTGTAACTTGTTACCTTTTGCGTTAATCATAGACACACGCTTAGGTTCGTAGTGTTAATTCTTTTGGTATATTGTTGGTAACGTTGCGTATTGTTATATTTTAATTAAGCTCTTCTGCTGAGGTCCACCACAGATCTCAGTTTAATAAATTGTTCAAACTGTTTCGAGTGTTACGCTATAAAGAAAAATTCGTCCCGTTTGGGTGCATCACGATAATAATAATCTATTCTTAAATAACAATGTATTTTATGCAACATACAAATTTACAGGTAAGATCGAAGTGCTAAATACGATACAGGCTTTACTTTATTAAGTTATATTGTCTCAAAGTTTAGCTCTTGTCCGTTATTGAACCACGGCCAATAGATCCACTCGAACTTAAAACCCAAAATAACAATCGTCCCGAACCTCGATTCAGGACCCAATGTTTAATAGTAAATTAGCAGTAATCAGCCTGATTGTCCTGTTCTAATAATAATCATAAGGATTACAAAACAAAACTTCAGTTTTTAGGTTTCCGGAGAAAAGCCCCCAAAATACTAAGCCGAAAGCAGAGTGATACCAAAATTTCTAAGGTCAATGTTACAAACGGACAAGTTCAAAATCTCAACTATTCTCAGTTATTTGTGTAACATTCCCCATAAAAAAACAGTGGTTCCTATCACGGACGGATAAATATCAGTACTAATACGGGAAAAAGGCATCAAAAGCGATCAAAAACGAACGTTTAGAATATTAACAGGTATCAGGGCTTACAGTGCTACTAAAATAACTTTTCTTGCCCTCAATCTGTCTAACTAATGCATCCTTGTTAGGAACCACTCATCTTTCTAGATCTAATGGCCATTTGTTTCGTTTTGCGAAGCCATAACAAGCTACCACCAAGTCGCCCGTTTTGTGTTTCTTTGTAGTCAAGTCCATTCATATCTATGCTGCAACAAGAAACATATTTCTTGAACCTCTGTCACCAGAATAATTTGTTTGTCGCCATCTTTTAGAAGCATTGTTACTAGATAGATTACTACTGAATCCTGATACGTTCTCTCTCAACAGTAAAAGCTTGACTGGTGTGATAGCCTCCAGATCATCCAGTTTGGCCAATATAGGAAATACGGGTCGACTGTTAACAATATATTTGGCTTTTACCATTAGAATTTCAAAGTACTCATCTGTTAAAGGTTGTTCCTTTATGAGAGCATTTAATGCCTTGAATATTGAACGAATCACAAGTCCCCGGATG